GAAATAAAAAAAATATTACAATACTATTTTTGCGTTGTATGAAAAATTTTGTTGCTCCGTATAAAATTTTTAATCAAGCCCCCCCCCCATCCTCCCGGTCAAAGGTGTCCCTCTTTACCAATCTGAAAATCTGGTCACCTTACCTTTTGTCAAACATAATACTTTTCATTTAGCCAAAACCTTTCTATTTTAGTCTCATATTTCTACAGAACACTCTTCCAGTAACCTTCTGACATATCCACATGGTATTTTGCAAACTGTAGACGGGCAGCAGTGTTCTTTTTGGAGAGAAGTAGTTCTCTCCTTACAATTGTTCCATGCACACCATTGTTGTTCACTGTTCTCCTAATGTGTGTGTGTGTGTCTCATGATAATTGGCATTTGCCAGTGTGAGAGGCTTTTAGTTTCTTACATCAGCAGTCCCCAACCTTTCCAAGTTCGCAGCCTAATGAAAGGGGGGCAGAGAGAATGGTTTTGTGTGAGGGACAGGTGCGTGCACACACACAGCTTCATTTGTGCGTGCATGAGTGGGGCTGCTTGTGTGGCCCAATTCTCAATGGGCTGCAACTGCAGCCCAATAAAGGGCCATAGGCCAGGAGATTGGGGACCCCTGTCTTAGATCTTACTCTGGGTTTCTTTGAAGCTCCTAGAGTATTGTTCTTGGTGTGATCTTCTGGGGAGGTAATATTGGTGTTAAATGGCCTCCCTTTGTACATGATCTTCCTGATAGTGAACTGGTGGAGTCAAACTCTTTGGAAATAGTTTTGTAACTTTTTACAGCCTAGTGAGCCTCAATAGGTGTTTCCTCAGAAATGTGACTTCGTTAAAGTCACTTTTCTACATATTTGTACAGTGAAGATCAGACTTGGTTAATGAATAGCCAGAATTCTGTACTTTAAGTAAGGCAAAACTTTCCACACTCATACCTGCTGAACATGCGATTAACTAAAATGCCTGACTCTAATTTCTGCTTAAAATGAAGTCCTAAAAAAAATTCAGGCAGACCGGCAGGGGCTGGCGGAGACTATGGATGGGTGGTAGGGAGCATAAGCAGGTTGGTGAGGGTTGCAAGCAGAGAGGTTGCTGCAGGTTAGTGCATGGTATTAAGGGCAGGCTGGTGGAGTGGGTGCTATGGAGTATGAGATCTCTGGGACTTTGCTTCTGGGAAGCTGGCAGGGGAGGTTATCAATGCTGATCACATGATTGTGGGATGATGCAGCCATGATAAGTGTGAACTGGTTGCCAAATGCCCAAATCCAACTGTTTGTCTATGTGAGTGCTGTGGCATCCAAAACCTTAAGTACTGGTTTAATTACCACTCATTCAGTGCCATCCTAAGTTTGAACAGTCACTGAATTGGGGATAGCTGCATAACTTTGTACATCAATCATCTTTGTATATGTGATATTACCAAGAAATCACTTTGAATCTCAATTTTGTATTTCTTGCACTATCAATTTCATTCATTATGCATATTCAGTAGGCTTTTGTCCATTAAAAGAGTTTTGCTGCAGAAAAAGTCCTTTCCTACTTCCTGAGATGAAGCCATAAAATCTAATAGGTGCAGTTTCTTAAAAAACATATTTTAATAGTATCATTGTAATTTTGGGGCAGTGATGTCTGTGTGAATTTTTAGAAAGCTATGTTAAAAAAAATTGAACAAATAATGAAATTATAAGTAAAGAATCATACATAGGGAAAAAGCAAAGACTCAATTAAAACCTTGGCAGAATTAAAAAAAGGCTTCAAGAGCAAGGGAGAATATATGAAAACCATGTTGTGTTTTATTACATTTTTCTAGATTCCTAAAGTTGATACATCTTAAGGAATTGTTTTGATCCTGATCTACTTTTTAGTAATTATGTCGATTATCTGTTGGGACACTTAGATTTTTAGGCAATGGAATGACTTTTAAGAAATGTTGAATGGGCAACTTGACTAAAATTAGAATAATTTGCTTAAGCATGCTTTTTTGAACCTACCTGTTTCATTAAAGACGTTCTGGCCACCTGGAGCAGCAGATGGTTGCAACCAATTTTGCATACATTGGCTGACTTTGACAGGACAGATGGAATTTCCTGTCTTTTCCACTTTCACCTCACAGGCAAGGTCAATAAGCTTTCTGTGCTTCAGAAAATATTCAAATACACACCAGCTTTTTAAAATGTTTCATTAATATCAAATTTACTTTTTGAAATCTAGCACTGGAAGTTTCTTTTCTAATGCTTTTGTTTAATATGCCAGTTCATCTTGTTCTTTTAAATGAAATATAATCTTAGATTTTATTGATATACAGAATTAAGAGACATAATCTTGACATGGATGGTGTGATCAAAATCATTCAATTTTTCAGGAAGTCACAAAGAAGCCCCAGGAAAGCATCCAGGGATTTTCAGGGTTAACTGATAGACTGTGGATTTGATTTGCAGAAGAACACTAATTAAAAATAAGATACATTGGAAAATAGCAAGTGGAAGCCATAACTCACTAATCCATACTATTCTGTAGTTTGCCATAAAGCACATAGATGATCCCATCCTTCAATTTTTTTGGATTAATGTTCCAGAATCAAAAGTAGAACCATTCAGACTATTCAGGTGTCATTATGTCTGGCAGAAATCAAGTATTTCAATAAAAAAGATACCAACTGTTAGGCATGTAAGTGATATTGTCATGGTATATCGAATATGCTTTGCTGCCTCACAACTGGTATAACCTGCCATCATTAAAGAAAGAATGAATTCTGCTTTATAGTTCCACGGGCTAATATTAATTAGTAATCTGCTGTATTTTAAAGTTTGTGTTGATATGCCTTCCACATTTGTCATCACCTCCTTAAAGAAGCTCCATCTCTTCCTATGCTCTCACAGTATTGGCTTGATCACAGAAAAATATACTTTTGATTTAAGGATGCAATATTTCAAACACCTAATTTCATAGTATCATAGGGTTACTATTCAAGGTAGGAAAAGGCACCACTTTTTAAAGGAAAGTATGACAAATGTGGTATATGTGCATCTGCATCAGCTCTTAAATAGATTTCTGCCTTAGAGCATAAACTTCCCTAATATCATAACCAAACATAAGCTAAAACATAAACGAGTCATGCACTGATTCCAGACATTCAAGCAAGGTCACTAGAGAACAGAAGAAGAACAATTGGAGTGTTTTAGAATGACAAAGTCAGACTCTGGATCTAAAGTCCATAGTGTGGAGTCCCAATCTGGGCATCGCTATATACGGGTGGTGGTGATTATTTGTGTTTTAGAGGAAGCTACTATAGTCCAAAATATCATTCTAACTTCATACAATACAGATCATAGTACAATAATGAATACAGATAATCCTCTATTTATGACCATTCAAAGTTATGACAACACTGAAAAAAGTCACCATTCATTCAGCAATCATTCAAATTTACTATACCACTGGACAAGGAGACTTACTATCATGTCCCCACAGTCATGTGAGAGCGATTCAGATACTTGGCAACTGGCTCACAATTATAAAAGTCGTAGTAGCATCCTGCAGTCACATGATAACCACTTGACATTTTCAGCGCAAGCTTCCAGCAAGCAAAGTCAATTGAGAAGCTGGCAGGAGGTTGCAAGTGGAGGTCATGTGATGCCATGCATAGCGGCCATGTGGAATTAGTTTAATAACTGAACAATTGAACTTGCTGCAACGGCAGTTGTCCTTAACTATGGGGTTGCCAGTCCCAATTACCGTTGCTAAGTGAAGACTACCCACATATGTATAAGCTTGCCAACCTAGATTTAAACTACTTTGTACGTTAAAAGCATACACAGCTGAACAGTAGTAACTGGTTGATGGTTGATACTGATAAAATGTAATTCTTACAATAAAAATGTGACTTTATATACCTGAAAATATATTTGTATTCTTTTCTCTTTGCCCCAGTTTGTTGTGCTAATGTTTTGGAGCATCTATATCTATGACAGAGAACTTGTTTACCCCAAACTCCTTGATAATTTTATACCAACTTGGCTGAATCATGGAATGGTAAGTACAAAAACAATGTTGTTTCTTTGAAAGAATATTAAGGAAAAAAATCAATTTTTTTCATCTGTAGATATATGAAGTGTCCATGGATGTCTACAGCATAGTAGCAGAAAAATGGTATTTTTTTAAAGGAGTAACTTTTCTACAACAGCTTATTGTCACTTACTATTAATATCAGAAGGGAATTAATGTTGCCAAAATTAAGGCCACAGGCAAATATGAAATCACAAAGTTATTAGACAGCTGTTAAATATCCCAAGTTTCAAACCTGATTATTTATAAAATATACATAATACATTCATTCCCATTAATGGTATTATTCCAATTTTAGTATATGTGTTGCTGAAATGAGCACAAGTCCCATTAATGGTCACATTAAATAAACAACACATTTAAAAAAAAACTTCATTTCCATTTCATGATTTCATGTATTAACTGTCTGAAATGAATATCTTTACTCCATTTTGAAATACTTTTCCACTGTGTTTTGTTTCTCAATATTAAAAACTATTTAAGTTCTTACTACAAATATTTAAAAATATGTTAACTATTAGCTTCTTACATAAGTATATATTTCTGCATAGTGTCTTAAATTCATAGAGGCATGGAATTCCTTTTTTTTTTAACCTTAATTTCCCCCCCAAGAAGTTTCTGTGGTTCAAAATATAAGTACAGGTAGTCCCAACTTACAACCATTCATCTAACAACCATACAGTTATAATGGCACTGAAAAAAGTGACTTAACAACTAATCCTCACATTTACAACACTCACAGCATCCCCATGGTCACATGATCAAAATTCAGGCACTTGGCATGTATTTACCATGGTTGTAGCATCCTGGAGTCATTGATCACTATTTACGATCTTAATTAGCTTCTGACAAGCAAAGTCAGTGTGGAGAGGAAACCCAGATTCACTTAACAACTCTGTGATTTGCTTAACAACTCTGGCAAAAATAATAAAATTAGGTTCAATTCACTAAACAGATGCCTTGCTTAACAATGGAAATGTGGGTCCCTTTTGTGGTTGTAAGACACAAATCACAATCTATGATGTTAGGTCAGCCTTTGTGAAAGATTCCCAGAGGATGCATTTTATTTATTTATATATTAAGTCAGCATTTAGAATACCCCATGCCACCCTATAGAAATTGCAGAGATATTATATAGATAGTCTTCATTTAACAACTGTTCATTCAGTAACCATTTGAAATTACAGCATCCCTGAATAAAGGGTCTTATGACCTACACACAAACATATGACCATTGCAGTGCTCCCCACGGTTATTTAATTGGATGTTTGGGTGCCCAGAGATCAAGTGATGGCTATCTGCAATCTTTCCTACTGACTTAACCAGAAAGAGCAGAGAAACTGGGAGGGAGGCCTGCAGGCCACTAGTCATCCTGAAATTTCTCCTTGGATTTCGGGACAGAGCTTTTTCAGCGATCCTCAATGAGAGCACTGCTTGGTAGAGAGAGTCTACCTCACATGACGGTCTGTCAGACAGCACTTTTGCTCTCAAAGAGGTTGGGCAAAAGTCCCCTGCAAAGGTTAGGGTTATGATATTACTTCAGCTTACCTTTGATTTACAGACCAGCAAAGTTAATAAATACAAGGATTAGTTGCTTTTTTCATCACAATTGTAATACAAATGGTTGTTGTAAGAAGCAGTTGGTAAACAAGGACTATCTGTACTTACCAATGTAGTGAATGGAATAAAATCTTATTTTGGGACAAAGTAAAACCATCCAGTTAGTGAAGCTCAATTCATAGTCTGTCCGGAGCAGTGAAGTCACAGGAAGGAGGGTAGTGTCGCATCATTTTGTCAAAAACAGAAAGATTATGGATGCCTATTGTCCAATGATCAGTAAATGCTGATTTCTAATTACTGTATTTTACCTTCCTATTATAAAAATAATTTAGATACTAGAGCATCTTCTTGACTACTTTAAATTTATAAATAGAAAGGCCTTGCTGGTTAATTAATTACACTATTATGAAGGAAAAAGTAATATATGATTAGAGGATATGTGTTTATGTAGGCTTCAGTCTGAAAGTGTGACATTTCAAACATTTGTGGTGGGAATGTAGATGTCTGACATAGCAACATAACATGTTCATAATTTGAGAGCAGCAAGGAAATGCAATGGAAGGAAAATGGGATTTTCTGTAGACTGGAATTGTTAAAATAATTAGTATATGAAATGACTATTTTTTCCTTATTGTCCCCCTCATAACAAACAATGTGAACATTCTAATTGTCGATGTGTTTCTATTGTTAATTTGTATATGCAACTCTGTAAAAGGCCATGCTAAAAAAAACTTTAAAACAAATAGTCTTGTCAATTTTTGTTTTCTCAAGTGTTTCTCTTTCTGAGTCACTATGAAAGTATTTTGTTGTTGTGGTGTTTCAGCACTGTTGCTTTATAATGCTTTAACCATAATATTATCTTTACTGTTGATTTTTATTTTAATTCATTCTGATTTTTTGTACATCATAGTAACCCATTTGAGGGAAGGGAGGGGGGATTTCCTAACAGAATGTTTTATTTTTAAAACATTAACATATTAACTCTTTGGAGAGAATCATGATTTTAAGAGTGGACTTCAAGAACTTTGATTATATGCTGTATCTTTTGAGATGAATTATAAATCTGAATATAATTTTTCGTATGTCTAAGGGACAAATGTATGTATCTAAAAGGTGGTATGGATTCTTTAATCAAAGTAGTTGTTTTGAGTGCTGCTAGAGCAGCTATTTTGAGTACTTTAAAAGTATCTCTTCAAATTTAGTGACAGGACCACAAAATGGCAAATGCAAGTCAATGTCAGGAAGTGTTATATGTATTGAAGCTAGGATTCCATGCTTCATTTACAAAATGTTGGGGACTGAACTGTAACAAGCCAACCAAAAAGCAGATCTTTAGATCACTGGAATTGTTCAGTGAAATAATCTGCACAGTGTGCATCAGCTCTAAAGAAGCAAATTCTATGGTATGGGTAGTTAGAAAAGGTATAATTTAAAACAAATGTAGATTTGAAGTGCTATTCTGGCTGATCTCCAAGACCTGGCTTATGTGCTTGTTTAAACAGTTTACATGAAATTAAATTTAGTTGATTTACAAATATGCTGCTTTGTCACCTAAATATTATTGCCATTCGTAACTATTCAAACAGGAAAAGGTATGTCTCCAATAAGACCCATCATACATTTGTAATGTATGTTATTATAACCCAGAAATGCCTGCATGGAATTGATTAAAACCCATTGGCAATTCTTTGCTAGTAAATAAATGTGTTTGGTTTTCTACCAATTCTCCCTGGGATGCCTCAGATGCTGCTGAGAGGGCTTCAGCTCTCCAAAGCTGGTCTCCAAGAAGCACAGCATGAAGAAAGAAGATCCCCATCTCCCCTTCCAGTTTTAACAGGGCCCATGAGTAGTACATTCCTGCAGAAAATCTTAATAAATTTGATCTTAATAAAATGTGATTAAAATCAGAGGAATTAATATTTTAAACTAGCTGATAACCTGGCATTGTCCAGGTATTTATTTATAGGGAGAAAATATCCAGACCAAATATAATTTCTAATGTTGAATTTTCCCCCTTACCAGAGGGAGCCCCCTTGT